GCCCAATAACGGCAGCTTCCAGCTTCCACCCTCTGACCTCTGACCTCCGACCTCCGAGCCGCCAGACCGTCTACACCTCCTGAGAGGCCGCCGGATCCACGCCCCACGTGTTGATCCACGGCACCGTGTGGATGGAATTACAGCAAAGACGCTGTAACCTGTAACTAACAAACTAATACTTAACTAACTGACTGACTAACTAGTAACTAACTAACTGACTAACAAACCAGTACCTACCTAACTGATTAAATAGTAACTAACTAGCTAACTGATTAACAAACTAGTAACTAACTAACTAACTAACTAACAAACTAGTAACTAACAAACTAGCTAATTAACTGACTACCTAATAGTAACTAACTAACTGACTAACATACTAGTAAGTAACTGACTAACTAGTAACTAACTGACTAAAACTGGTAACTAACAAACTAACTGACTAACAAACTGGTAACTAACGAACTAACTGACTAACAAACTGGTAACTATCTAACTGACTAGCTAACTAATAACTAACTGAGTAATAGTAACTAACTAACTGATTAACATATTAGTAACTAACTGAGTAACAAACTTGTAAGTAACTAACTAACTAGCTAGTAACTGACTAACTAACAAACTAGTAACTGGCCAACTAATGATTAAATAACTAAGTAAGTGACTAATTAGTACTTAACAAACTGACTAACAAACAAGCTAACTGACTAACTAAGTAATAACTAAATAACTGAGTAACAAACCAGTGACTAAGTGACTAACTAGTAACTAACTAACTGACTAACAAATCAGTAATTGACTAACTAGTAACTAACTAACTGACTAACAAACCAATAACAAACTAACTGACTAACAAACTAGCAACTAACTAACTGAGTAACTTGTAACTAACTAACTGACTAACTAATAACTAACTGACTAAGAAACTAGTAACTAACTAGTAACTAAGTGACTAACAAACCAATAACAAACTAACTGAGTAACAAACTAGTAACTAACTAACTAGTAACTAACCAAACGCCAAATAACAGCTGCTTCCACCCTCTGACCTCCGACCTCTGACCTCCGACCTCTGACCCCAGCAGACCGTCTAACACCTCTGACCCGCCCGATCCACGCCCCACGTGTCGATCCACGGCGCCGCGCGGATGGAATTACAGCAAAGACGTTTAACGAGCAGAAACAGGACAACCGGCGGAGTGGGGGGGGCTAAGCTACCGCTAGCCTAGCTACAACCGCGGGGGGGGGAGGAAAACGCTGCCGACCTTGAACCCTCCGATGCGATGGTCTTTCTTGAACTCCTTGCCGTTCTTGAACCACTTCAGGGTCGGCGTCGGGTTCCCGCTGGCCTGACATCGGAACTTGACCGTCTTACTGGCGGGGACGGCGTGGAGCTTCTTCTCCATTTTCTCCGGGTGAGCCCACTGGGGGGACATGGCTGTGGGACGAGGACGGACAGACAGAGAGAGAGAGAGAGAGAGAGAGAGAGAGAAAAAAAAAACAAAAAAATCACGGTCAGTTCCGTTACGTTCCTCTGGATGGAGCCAAAGCTGTGACTCTGAACGGTGGACAATGTTTTTTTTCCACCGCTAGTCGTTATAAACGTCGATCGCTTTGTTCCAATTTTTTCCGTTTTGTCGTATGGTCGGATTCTGTTCAGGGACTTGTCGTCTTGTCTTCATGTCGTCTCGTCTTCTTGACATCGTCTTATCTTCCTGTCTTCGTCGTCATGTCTTGTTGTCGTCTCGTCTCCTTGACGTCGTGTTGTCTTGTCATCTTGTGTTGTTGTCTTCTTGTCTTGTCATCTTTTCTTTGTCGTCATGTCTTCTTGACGTCATCTTGTCTTCTTGTCGTCTTGTCTTCGTCGCCATGTCTTGTTGTCGTCTCGTCTTCTTGACGTCGTCTCGTCTTCTTGTCTTGTCATCTTGTGTTCGTCGTCATGTCTTCTTGACGTCGTCTTGTCTTCTTGTCGTCTTGTCGTCGTCGTCATGTCTTGTCGTCATCTTGTCTTGATGTCATCTCGTCTTCTTGACGTCTTGTCTTCTTGTCTTGTTGTCGTCTTGTCTTGTTGTCTTCTTGTCTTGTCTTCGTCACCATGTCTTTTTGTCGTCTTGTCTTGTTGTTATCTTGTCTTCGTCGTCATGTCTTGTTGTCGTCTTGTCTTCGTCGCCATGTCTTGTTGTCGTCTTGTCATCTTGTCTTTTCTTGTCTTGGTCATCATGTCTTGTCTTGTCTTTTTGTCTTTGCCGTCATGTCTTGTTGTCTTCGTCGTCTTGTCTTCTTGACGTCTCATCTTTGTTGTCACGTCTTGTTGTCATCTTGTCTTTTTGTCTTGTCGTCTTGTCTGGTTGTCTTCTTGTCTTTTTGTTGTCTTGTCATGTTTTCTTCTCGTCTTGTCTAATCATCGTCTCGTCGTCCGTCACCACCGTCAGTGGACTCGACCGGTCACCATCTTAAATCTGAACGTCCGACACGTCCTCCACCACTGACCAACAGCGGCCAACGGTGGCCGACACAGGAAGTGACTTACGCAGCAGCTTCTGACTACTGGGCTGCTTGGTTTCCTCCGACGAGGACTCATCATCTTCGTCTTCGTCCTCCGACGAGGCCGAGGCGTCCACTGGGGGGAGACAGAGAACAGAGCAACTGAGTCCCGACCGGCGTCCTGATTGATCGGGACGACGGTCACTAACTGATTAACTAACTGACTAACAGACTAAACAACTAGTAACTAACGAACTAACTGACTAACAAACTAGTACCTAACTAATTAACTGACTAACAAACTAGTACCTAACTAATTAACTGACTAACAAACTAGTAACTAACTAAATAACTAGTGACTAACAAACTAGTAACTAACTGACTAACTTTCTATTTACTAAATCAGTAACTAACTAACTAGTAATTAACTGACTAACTAGCTAGTAACTAACTAACTGACTAACTAGCTAGTAAGTAACTAACTAACTGACGAACTAACCAACTAACTAACTAACTAGTAGCTAATTAACTAAGTAACTAACAAACTAGTAACTAACTCAGTAATTAATTAACTAGTAATTAACTGACTAACAAACTAGTAACTAACTAACTGACTAAGTAACTAGTAACTAACTAACCAATTAAGTAGTGACTAACTAACTGACTAACAAACTAGAAACTGACTAGCTAACTAACTAACTGACAAACTAACTCACTAACTAACTGATTAGCAAACTAACAAACTAACTAACTAGCTGACTAACTAACCGACTAACTAACTCACTAACTGACTAACTAACTAACTGATGAATTAACTAACTAACTAACTAACTGACTAACTAACTCACTAACTAACTAACTAGCTGACTAACTAAGTTATTGACTAACTAACTAGCTAACTGCCTAACTAACTAACTAACTAAATAACCGACCAACCAACCCACCGGTGACGAGGAAGCTCAGGCTGTGGTTGCCGAGGGCGGTGCAGGCGTAGAGGTAACTAACTAACCCACTAGCTGACTAACTAACTAACTAGCTGAGTAACTAACTAACTGACTAACTAACTAGCTAACTGAAACTAACTAAATAACTAACTAACTAATTAACTGACCAACTAACTAACTGACTAACTAACTAACTAACTAACTAGCTGACTCATTAACTAACTAACTAACTGAAACTAAATAAGTAACTAACTGAAACTAACTAACTAACTGACCAACTAACTAACCGACTAACTAACTAACTGAAACTAACTAACTAGCTGACTCACTAACTGACTAACTAACTCACTAACTAACTGAAACTAACTAATTAACCGACTAACTAACTGACTGACTGGTTGACTAACTAACTAACTATCTAACTAACCGACTAACTGACTAACTAACTGACTGATTAACTAACTAGTAACTAACTCACTAACCCACTAACTAACTAACCGCCTAACTAAGTAAGCCGACTAACTAACCCACCGGTGACGAGGAAGCTCAGGCTGTGGTTGCCGAGGGCGGTGCAGGCGTAGAGGTAACTAACTAACCCACTGACAGACTAACTAACTAACCAACCCGACTAACCAACCCACCGGTGACGAGGAAGCTCAGGCTGTGGTTGCCGAGGGCGGTGCAGGCGTAGAGGTAACTATCTATCTAACTAACTAACCAACTAACTAACTAACCTAACTAACCCACTAACTAACCCGACTAACTAACCCACCGGTGACGAGGAAGCTCAGGCTGTGGTTGCCCAGGGCGGTGCAGGCGTAGAGGCCGGCGTCCGTCGGCTCCACGCTCTTGATCTCCAGGTTGCCGTTGCGCAGGTGCGTGTGGTCCCCGTCCTCCAGCGTCTCGCGGTCTTTGGTCCAGTTGACGGCGTGGAGCTGCTGCTGCTGCTGGTCCGAGCAACTCAGGTCCAGGTTGTCCCCCGGGTAGAGGGTGAAGACCTCGGCCGGTGTTTCCAGGAACACTGGGAAAAAAAAAAAAAAAAAAGATCGGAGAGGAACGACAGGAAAATCGGACTAGGAAAAATATCGGGAAAAAAAAAAAAAAAAAAAAAAAATTTGACGAGGAAAAAGATCGGAAAAGAACAACAGGAATATCGGACTAGGAAAAATATCCGGAAAAAAAAAAAAAAAAAGTCAGTAACTGATAGAGTAGGACGTTGATGTGAGACAAGGAGAGATCGCGATATATTTCGACGACGTATCAGGATTTTCTTCCGCCGCTAGTGGTTGTAAACGTCGATCGCTTTGTTCCAATTTTGCCGATTATCGTATCAGAGGATTCTGTTCAGAGACTTGTCTTCTTGTCTTCTTGTCTTGTTGTCGTCTCGTCTTCTTGACGTTGTCTTGTCTTCGTCGTCTTGTCTTCGTCGTCTTGTCTTTGTCGTCATGTCTTCGTCGTCAAGTCTTGTTGCTGTCTCGTCTTCTTGTCGTCATGTCTTGTTGTTTTGTTGTTGTCTTGTCGTCTTGTCTTTATCGTCATGTCTTCTTGTCTTGTCTTGTGTTGTTGTCGTCTTGTCTTGTTGTCGTCTTGTCTTCTTGTCTTGTCGTCTTGTCTTTGTCATCTCGTCTTGTCTTCATGACGTCGTCATGTCTTCTTGACGTCGTCATGTCTTCGTCGTCATGTCTTGTTGTCGTCTTGTCTTGTTGTCGTCTTGTCTTGTCGTCTTGTCGTCTTGTCTTCTTGTCTTGTCGTCTCGTCTTTGTTGTCTCGTCTTTGTCGTCTCGTCTTGTCTTCATGACGTCGTCATGTCTTCTTGACGTCATCTTGTCTTCGTCGTCATGTCTTGTTGTTGTCTCGTCTTCTTGACGTCGTCTTGTGTTCTTGTCATCTTGTCTTCGTCGTCACGTCTTGTCCTCTTGTCCTCTTGTCATCTTGCCTTGTCTTCTTGTCTTGTTGTCATCTCGTCTTCGTCGTCATGTCTTGTTGTCTTCTCGTCGTCTTGGCTTCTCACCTTCGTCGTCATGTCTTATTGTCTTCTCAACACCTCGTCTTCGTCGTCATGTCTTGTTGTCGTCTCGTCTTCTTGACGTCGTCTCGTCTTCTTGTCTTATTGACTTCTTGTCTTGTCATATTGTCTTTGTTGTCATGTCTTGTTGTCTCGTCTTCTTGTCTTGTCATATTGTCTTCGTCGTCATGTCTTGTCGTCTCGTCTTCTTGACGTCGCCTCGTCTCCTCGTCTTCGTCGTCATGCCTGGTTGTCTTCTTGTTGCCTTGTCGCCTCGTCGCCATCTTGTCTTTATGTCATCTCGTCTTGTCGTCTTGTCTTGTCGTCTCGTCCAAACCCCAAACGACACTTTGTCAACGCCGAGCGGAGACGCAAAATCAAATTAGAGGAGGACGACGGGGGGAGTAACTGATAGAGGAGGACGTTGATATGAGATCAGGAGAGATCGCGATATTTCGATATTTTCTTCCACCGCTAGTGATTATAAACGTCGATCGCTTTGTTCCAATTTTGCCGATATCGTATCATCGGATTCTGTTCAGAGACTCGTCCTTTTGTCGTCTCGTCTGGTTGTCTTCTTGTTGTCTCATCTTGTCTTTTTGTCGTCGTGGTCTTGTCTTTTTGTCTTCTTGTCGTCTCGTCTTCTTGATGTCGTCTTGTCTTCGTCGTCATGTCTCGTTGTCTTGTTGTTGTCTTGTCTTGTTGCCGTCTCGTCTTCTTGTCTTCTTGACGTTGTCTTGCCTTCGTCGTCTTGCCTTGTTGCTGTCTCGTCGTCTTGTCTTCTTGTCGTCATGTCTTGTTGTTTTGTTGTTGTCTTGTCGTCTTGTCTTTGTCGTCTCGTCTTGTCTTCATGACGTCGTCATGTCTTCGTCGTCTTGTCTTGTTGTTGTCTCGTCTTCTTGTTGTCTTGTCGTCTCGGTCGTCTCATCTTGTCTTCATGACGTCGTCATGTCTTCTTGACGTCGTCTTGTGTTCTTGTCATCTTGTCTTCGTCGTCACGTCTTGTCGTCTTGTCTTCTTGTCCTCTTGTCATCTTGCATTGTCTTCTTGTCTTGTCATCTTGTCTTCGTCGTCTCGTCTTGTCGTCATCTCGTCTTCTTGACGTCATCTTGTCTTGTCGTCGTCTCGTCTTCTTGACGTCGTTTTGTCTTCGTCATCAAGTCTTGTTGTCTTCTCGTCATCTTGTCTTCTCGCCTTCGTCATCATGTCTTGTTGTCGTCTCGTCTTCTTGTGTCTTTTTTGTCTTCGTCATCAAGTCTTGTTGTCTTCTCGTCATCTTGTCTTCTCGCCTTCGTCATCATGTCTTGTTGTCGTCTCGTCTTCTTGTCTTCTTGACGTCGTCTCGTCTTCTTCGTTAATTGACTTCTTGTCTTGTCATATTGTCTTCGTCGTCATGTCTTGTCGTCTCGTCTTCTTGACGTCGCCTCGTCTCCTCGTCTTCGTCGTCATGCCTGGTTGTCTTCTTGTTGTCTTGTCGCCATCCTGTCTTTGTGTCATCTCGTCTTGTCGTCTTGTCTCGTCTTCTCGTCTTCTCGTCCAAAACCCCAAACAACACTTTG